GATCAGGACAAAAATAGCTCTAAAATACGCTTGATCCCAAACTCCGCATGTTAGAGTCACTAATATTTCCTTCAAGGGGTGTGCGATAGACTTACCCCCACGTGGTGCACCCTGGGCAACGTATACTCATACGGCCCCATGACCCCACTGTATGCCATATTCGACCACTTCACAGTACTCACCTCACCTTTCATCTACCTTAGCGTTTGTCTCTTACATCTTTAAAACACTCTTCTGTTCCCCTCCCACCTCTCGACATTTTTCGCTTTGATGTTCCTCTCCCTCTGTGAAGTCCGAAGTCAACCAAAGGGCTAATGATAGCTATCATTAAGCCTGCCCCATTTGATATAAATATGTATTTCCTTCAAAATTTGTCAATGCCTTAGCGCAACCCAAAGCGACATTCCTTAATGGGTTGAAGTGGGCCAAAAATTACCTACCTGCCAGCCAAAATGGCCTGTAACTGGGTCAGCCAATATTAGGAAAAACTATCCAAATATAAACAACAAAGACTAATTTGATTTAATTCTGGCAAAAAAAGGCTTAGATTCCTAATCAACACATTGCATGATAAAAAAGTGTGTCCATCTGGTTGATGACTATTACGCTAATCTGGAAGACGTGAATCGCAAAGCGACAAATCGACACCTATAATTGAACATGATCTTCAATTCATGAGCCAAACGAAAAAAATTTCACATTTTTCAAAGAAAGGTAATGATCTCCTCATAACATGGGAAATGAATTGAGAGGCTGACTTAACTCCACTTTCACTAACCACTCAGCTCCAAGTCTCCTTCAATCGACTTCATCTTCCTGTTTCCATCTGCAAGCTTACCCCCAGAGCGACTGATGATCGTCTATTGATTAAAGCCAACCCTTTGTTTGATCAATTTTGCACGGGACAAGTTAAGTCTAATGGGTTCCAAAAGGCTCACCAAGGTACACCAATAAATAGCCCAAGTTCACTTACATCTCGTTACAAAGAACTAAAGTAAGTTGGGGGGAATTACGTCGTAGTAGGATCGTAAAAACGGAAACAAAAAATTTGGTACGACCTTTAGGAGTACCTATTTTTATGGAGGAATTTGTCCTGAATAAATAGTCTTCCACTTATTTCAATAATTACAAATCCTAGAACCAATTAAAAGCTAGCATTAAAATTGTTAAATTTCGAGAAACGATTGTGGGATGAAATAATTTCTCGATGGTCAATTTAAGCTTATCTCTCTGTGTTTTACGCACTAATTAGGCGTCTAAATAGAGCATAATGCTGAAGTCTCACAAACAAAGTAATCGATTTTCGATTGAGAAACCCAAAAGTCAACATCAATTAAGCATGCCTACTTCTACCTATGATTACTTCTGAACCCTAAAAGGTTTTGGATCAGCAGATGAAATAGGTAGACAACTTGGTCATCAATTGAAAGCATTAAAGTTAAAAGGGGTTCCTGCATGCTCGATAACAATAAATAGGCGAAATAAAATCGATATATATATATATATATATATATATATATATTAATACTTTGACGTGGAATTTACCTAGATTCTTTTCTTTGTAATAACTGATGTGCAGTCCACATGAGGTCCCTTTATTAACCAAGATGCATGAAGATCCCAGGCAAAATCGAGAAAACCACAAAGTTCCGAATCGAAGCACTTGTTATATTAATTAACCACGTGACATAATGATCGAACATTGGGAATTACGAATTAACACTTTTTTTCAGTTGTTTGTGATGACCGTATTTCAGGAGATACTTGAAAGATGAGATTGCTACAGTCGTATTAAAGGCAGGTGTGATGGAAACAATGCATTACAGAAGACCTGTACCGGTGTATCAATGGGATTCTCCATAAAGGTGGAAATTTCTCTGAACGATGAAGAAAAAACAAGCGTATCCAAATCTCTCCTTCCTTCTGCAAAGTTTATTATTTATATCAAATGGCAGGCGTTTTGATGGTTATCACAGAGGGATGGAACATCAAAGTGAAAAAAAGTCGAGAGGGGGG